ATGATTTAAATTTGCACAAAGGTGAAGAAACACTGGTCTAGATGATGATAAAGTTTAAAATTCTGGTAAAAGCAAATTCTTGAATATACTTAAAGTAATTGTGGGCTTTACCTGAAACAAGTGAGAGGAAGTAATGCAAATAACAACTTTAGTAATGATAAGGTTTTGTTGAATAGGGCCCCTTTATTCTCAGAAAAGCTCTAATGTAAAACTGAGCAAACAAAGAAAAATTAAATCATTAATTTGTAGGCAATTATACTAAAATGAAAATCTGATGCCAATCAAAGAACAATCAGAACAATCAAATTAATGTTAATATATTTGGGGTTTGATATGAAATATTGAAAACAGGATAATACTTTCATTCCTGGATGCTTGTATAGCTTGTGCCTTAGCTTTCTTTAAGAAATATGCACTTTTCTTTATTTGAAATCATGATCTTGATGGTATCTCATAAATATTTCTGTATCTTTGAAATTATGTTTCAAATTTATTATTTAGTGTCGGCAAGTGAGAATCATGTTCATTAGTATTGGTAGCATTCAGAGTTAATTATGTTTGTCTTCCATTATTACAAATGATTGTGTTTAGAGCCATGGGTAGAAATTTGCAAAGACCCAAACAGATTGTTTTGAATTTTAACCCTTTGTTTTCAAATGCCTGAAATTCAATAATGCTGTTCAGGTCAGCTTTTCAGTGCCAAAGGGTTAATTAATAAGGTTAGTAATTTAAATAAATGTCTGAAAATTATTGAGGTTCACTATTTATTTCTTAATTATGTAAAATAATTCCTAATACCAGGAATATCATGACTTACAGTGTAGTTTACATTGTTGGCTCAAATATTGGTTATTAATGTATTATTACACATTTTAATTTTTTAATAGCAGTTGTCCAAATAGCACGTTTAAAGGTCCAGTGATAATTTATAATTTGCTGCTTATTGTACATTGTAAAAACGTTATTTCCTTTTCCATAAATAAAATTATAGTATTAAAGTAAAACAATAAAAGACATAGCTTTTATTGTATGTAGATATAATTATTGCCTTAAAAGGTATAAATGAGTAAACTTACTGTGCACTGATTCACCTTATGGTGAAATCTAATTTATAGCCAGTATATTCCCACTAGCAGAATAGCTAGGTGACCATTTTCTAGATAACGTGGTTGCCTCCTCAGGAGCAGACTGATTTAGTGCGGAAATAGCTGCAGAGCAATCCCAGGAAATGTACTTTTTCTGTCCTTTAAAGCAACACATTTTCAGTACTGTTCTACAGGATGTCTGAGTTTTAATACTATATACACATTTTCTTTAAAATTGTTTAATGTCACATATAGAACACAAACAGTGTTTTTTATTTTTTTGTAGGAACTCATGAAACTTTTTCTATATATACATAAATTATTCATTTTGCTTAGTTTTCATATTCTGTATTATTAACTATATTAAAAACAAATTATTCCAGATTTTCAAGGCAGTCAACAAAATATGTAAGATAGTGTTCAAAGTATGTATTTCGCTTAGCATCCAACAACAGTTTTGTTTTTCCTCTCTTAATTCAATTGAATTTAGTTCTGTGTATGGTAGTCTTATAAACTGTGCTGTTTGGGAAAAATTCCAACTATAACTGTAATGTCAGATAACTGTAGTACATTACAAATATTCATGGGTCTTCATTGTTTAAAAGAGTTATATATTATACACATTTGTTAATGAATTGTGTTGATGTCCCCAACATGATGCATGTTGGTCATTAGTACAATGTACTGAATGTTATTTTCTTTTGACATTTTTTGGTCAGTAATTTAATGGTTGTTAGAATGATTAATGTAGGTGCCATGTGTTACTTAATGCAAATGTTATAAAGAATCCTTTAATTTCATGAATGTACAGATGCATAGCGTGTACTTGTATTAGGAGTACAAAATATTGTCTTGTGATTTTACTATTTTGAATTTTCTTCTTTATTACTTTTTAGCAAATTTATCAGTAATAGGAAAATGGTTACAATTGGTGTGAAAATTTTAAAAAAATCATATTTAGTATATGTTGTCACTGTTTGGCAGTCTTAGAATAATTTATTTAATAGGCAAGTTTTTATAAATGCAATTTATTAGTTAGAAGATGCATCCTTTGATACCTTCCCTTTTGTCGTTGATATTTTGTTTTGTAAGCGTCTTCCGGTGTTCAGAGTTGCTTCCTGAACAAAACCATTTACTTTGATTCGAGGTGTAATTCCACAGTGTATTCCAATTTATATCACAGTTTTCTAATCATACAGCATTTTCTTGTATAATTACATCCAAAGTTACACTGTTTGAATGTAGAAATAATATTTTATTCTTTTATATAATGCCTACAAAATTCTCCAAAATGTAATGGAAAAAATCCAATCTTTATCATTTGTTTAATGACTATTTTTTGTAATATTTCAAAAGGTTGACAAAAAGCAATAAAATGTCACTGCTTTTAAAGGCCTGAGTTACTGTTCATTTTATCATTGTTCCTGTAGGATCAACATGAGTAATGAGGGGGAAAAGGCACACTTAAGTCGAACCAGCCCTTCCCCTGAGGTCCATCAGTTCTGAGGTAACCGTGCCTGCGGGTGAACAGCAACTGGCCAATTAGATCTCCTTGCTGCCGCCGCCCTTCGCTATAAATCAGTTTCTCCCTTCCACAGCAGCCTCTGGGGAACCAGGAGAGGATTGAAGGGGAAATCCTTGTCCCACCCTAGATCTGACCAAACACCAAAGGGAAACCAAAATAAAACTTTAGGAGTCTGTTGTTCAGCCAAGCTGAGGTGGGTGATAGAAGGCAACCAGTCAGGAATGAAACAAAAAATAAACTTTATTAGCAGTTTTTTGTTTTGTTTTTTTATAATCTGCGCTCAGTCGTTACCGACTGCAGTGACTGCTT